AGACTCAATTAGAAAATCGTATCGAGAAATACGATATTTATCCATTATTATTTGAGAAGACAGAGAAACAAAAGTTTAATCAAATAATATTCTTGACAATTCAGTAGGTTAAGTAGTTCAGTAGGTTAGTTTCGACAATGTGACAGGTATTAAAATTACAGATGGTAAATTCTGATAGTGCAATTTTATCAGAAAATATTTGTAAGTATATTATATGTAAAAAAACTTCAAAAGATTAAATAATTATATTTTTAAATTAATGTATATGCTTTGTATAATAAAGTTTTAATTAAAAAAATTTTTTTTTAGAAACAAATGTTTTTACAATTATTTGATGTGTAATATTATATATCCTTTTTAAATTAAATTATAAAATACTACATAAATTAATAATAAAATTTACTTATAAAATTAAATAAACAGAATTTTAAAATAGATTTCCAAGAATGTAGTATCTGTTTATCTTCTTTAAATTAATATTAACTTTTTTCTTAATGTTCTTGTTTCTAATCTTAAAAAAAAATATTTTGGTCATAACAAATGATAATGTGAATATAAATGTTGACAGCAATTTGTGTAAAAAATTTATATGAGAGAAGCTCAAATGTCCATGCTGAAATTTACACTCATAATCTGCGCACTTGCTGGGTGTTGGCAACCGCTGTCATGGACATCGTTATTTAAACATATAATTTATAAGACTTACGCAATGTTTCTGATTTCTTCATTATATGCATTCCTAATTTCTCAATTCATAAATACTATATTAAATGTCGGCAACTCTGATGAATTTACTGATGCCTTATACATGATGTTGACAGTGCTTGTAGCAGGCTACAAACAAATTTATATGTGGATAGATCGTAAGAATGTCTTGGTAATAATAAATGTCCTTACTGAGAAACCATTTGCACCATATGAAACACAAGAAGTAAAGATTCAACAGAAATTTGAAAAAATGGTACAGTAAGTATTATTATAGTATATACATAATTATAAGTACATAATTATAATATATACATAATTATACATAATTATATACATAATTATATATATAATTAAAAGCATCAACTATTTTTTGGTAAAAAATTCTCTAAATAGTAATACACTTTGCTTTGAATTCATAAATATTTTACAATCGCCAATGCCAAGAAAACAACTATAAAATATCTGAAATAACTTTTCATTTTCTCTATATTATTTCCTCTTATTTCTTTTTTCTGTAAGAAGTAAAATAAAGTAATATAAATATACATTAGATTATTAAATAATTATTTATCCGTAATTACTAAAAAGTTTAGAACTAATTATAAAATAAGATATGTTTATATAAAAAATGT